TCCCCTGTGTGTGTGTGTGTGTGGGTGTGTGTGTGTGTGTGTGTGTGTGTGTGTGTGTGTGTCAGCAGATGGACGCTACTCTTTACTGGGGCAGCCGCTGCAGTACAGTCTGTGTCCTCCTCCCATCATGCACAACCACAACCAGTCCTCCTACAGCTCCCATCAGGTACAGCTCTGTGTGTGTGTGTGTGTGTGTGTGTGTGCGTGTTTTTGTGTGTGTGAGAGTGAGTGTGTGTGTGAGTCTGAGTGTGTGTGTGTGCATCAGTGGTGAAGTTTCTCCAAAAACAGCAGTTTCTCGTGGTAGTTTTAGAGACCAATGCATTGATATTATTGACATCGGTCAATAATTGCCAAATAACAGAACTGTCAATTTCAAAATCTACCCAGTCTTGTCATGGATAGTGCGCGTTCAGATCTTTTTAGTGAATTTTGAGTTAATAGAGTCTTTATGCAAAAAAAGTGTTGATTTAAATTTAAAATAATTAGTTTACAGTATATTTTTAATCATTATATTGTAACAAATTTAAAATAAATTAAATTGTTTTCATTAATCATATTATCAGCAAAAAAAATCTGAGTAAAAAGTTTAATTAATAATTTCCCCCCTAAATCTTGTTTATTTCTCGGTTTAAATTGGACTTTAAATCCCAGATTTTCACCTTTTATGTATCAGCATAAACTTTTAAAAACGCACAGAACTCCGCTGAGCACCACTCACTTTAACATGCATGCTTAAGAGTAAGAGTTTTAGCATATTCTTTCTTTTTTTCTTTATACTTTATTTTACGGTTTTCTTAAATCAACAATGCACACACACACAAAAAAAGAAAAAACGGGATGAGACTGAAAATAAAAAAAAAAGCTTCTTGACCAAGCATGTTTTTCACTAGGGCATTACTACAATTTGTTTTTCTTGTCACTAAGGTTATAAATTCAAAATGCTTAATTTTCTTTTCTTTTTATAAAGTGTGATCTTCCATCAAAGCTCTACCTTTATTTCTGTGTTTATCAGAGTCAGGGAGTGATGAAGCACGGAGCGCGGGGGAAAAGACAAACGCTCAAATCTGCTTCTACAGACCTCGGGACTACTGACGTGGGTAAGAGACCAAACACACAAACTCCCGACCCGAGAGAAAAGTCTGTGTGACATGAAGATGAACCCTGTTTACCATAAAAATTTTCCTGTAGTTTGCATGATGCTCCATCAGTGCCTCTGAAATGGCTTTTCTGTGCTGCAGGAAACACGTTTATATCTAATGGTATAAATATGGAATAATGGGTCATCTGGGTTATGTCATTCCAAAAAGGAAGTACAGTGTATTGCATTTTAAAATGCTCATAATCAGATTACGGTTACATTTTTATGGATTACGTGATTGCAAATTATTCACACAATGGCAGTAAATGATTCATAATTTATCGATTCTCCCAAATTCTTCATTTTCCTCTTTAAAAATCATACTGTCGTAGCATTTAGCTTTGGTTAAAGGCAGGTAAACAAATGAAATATTTATATTTCTAGTGTTCAAGTATTAAAATAATTAATTTTTATTTGACTTTTTATGATTTATTTAATTATTAGCTTCTTATGAACTCACAAAACCACTATAGTTCTTACGTTAAGCCCAGTTTGGGAAACCCTGGTGTAATGTTTAATGCATTGTATGATCTTATTAAAAAAGAAAAAATGATTTATTTGCTTTTTTATATAAATATGGTATGTTTAATTTTAAAACAAGTTGGATAAAAAGTAATCTAAAAAGTAGTTGGAATACATTACCTAAAATTAGTAACCTCTTTAAGCTTGGTTTTTCCAAAATGTGCCCAGATCTCGGATTTAAAAATAGTGGGTGCATTTTTTAATACTCGCGTGACAAGCGCGTATGCGACTAACGTCCGCAGGCTATAATCGATTATGGTCTATTACTGCATCGATGCAGAATCGTCAACGTCCGCAACGATTCATTTCAACACCCCTAATCAGCAGTGGTTTTAACTAGGCCTGCACGATTAATCGAAATCGAACCGAAATCGCGATTTGGCTTGATGCAATTATTGAATCACAAAGGCTGCGATTTTTAACGAAATAAATATATGCACAGCGCCAGTAGTAAACACTGTGAGTTTGAGTAGCTTATAACGTGCATCTGATTAAGCAACACACTCCAAGCATCCTCTCAAACTTAATGAGAAGCGTTTATAAACCTGTTGTTGAAAACATTATAATATGATTTTACTCCACAACATCAGTCATTACATGTGTTTAGCACTCTGTAATGTGCACTCAGTCCTATTTTGGCCATAAATAGGAAAAATAATACTTCTCTCTAAAGAAATTTGAAGTAAGCATATGATAATCCATGTTTTAATCCAGTGTATAGAAGTGTACAGGAGGTTTTTTTCTTTTCTTTTACCACAGTGGATGTATAAAAGGCTCATATTTCATATTAAAGACATGGACTTGATTTTACATACTTCCTGATAAAAATTAAGAAATTACTGTCAAAGATTTTTATCATAACAGTATCATATGATGCGTGTCTCCCTCTAGTGGTGAGTCGGGTGCTGGAGGTCACAGACCTCCCCGAGGGCATTTCCCGTCCGGAGGCCGAGAAGCTCTTTAACCAGCTCTCGCTCTGCGGCGCCAAGATCCAGTGGCTGAAGGACCCTCAGTGTCCCCGGGGCCCCGGCGGCGGCGGAGGAGGACGGGGAGACGCCAGGGACCCCGCTAACCTCTACACCGTGGTGGCCGTGTTCCCCAACACCATGGCGGCCCAGAGCGCCTCCTTCAAACTCAACAACAGCGGCGGAAGCTTGTTCAAACTGCGCGCCACCAAAAAGAACTATGACTTGCGTGTGCTGGAGCGAGCGAGCTCGCAGTGAGTCGGGAGAGAGAGAGAGGAAGTCGAAGATGTCAAAGGGAAGAGATCATCCTGGAGTTCCTTAGGGATCTTTTTTATTGTTTGTATCATTACCAGAAGAGCACATATGACACAGAAGTGTGTTGCGTTGTACATGTGTCGTATGACGCGCACACACACTCATAGACACAACCGGGCATCTTAAAGGGTTAGTTCACCCAAAAATGAAAATTAGTCCATAAATTAGTCCCCCTCAAGTCATCCTAGGTGTATATGACTTTCTTCGTTCAGACGAATCCAGTCGGAGTTATATTAAAAATTGTCTTTGATCTTTCAAGCTGTTTAATGCCACTCAGCAGGTGTTGCAGTGCTTCAGTCCAAAAGAAGTGAAATAAAAAGCGCCCATCCATAAAATAAAAAAGTGTCTCACATGGTTCCGGGGGGTGAACAAAGACCTCCTGTAGCGAATGGATGTGTTTTTGTAAGAAAAATACAGTCTCCTCTTGGCTTATATCGAAATTCTCCACCATTCTTCTTTACAAATCCTCGTTTTGTACTTCTATTAAGTGACCGCTGTTTTGTTTTGATCTCTCCGCTGCGTTTCCGCGTGCATCACTTCTGAGCGGCGCATGCGCGGCGCTGATCTCATCCGCCTTGAACTGCTTCTGTGTACAACAGTTCAATTCAATTAAAGTTTATTTGTATAGCGCTTTTCATGATACAAATCATTGCAAAGCAACTTTACAGCAAATTAAGTTTCTACAATATTTAGTAGTAGCTTATCAGTGGTGACTGTCAGTTAATGTACATATGGCAGAAATGTATGGAAATATCAATTAAAGACGTAATCAAACAGACGATGAACACTATTAACAGCAATTATTATATGATGCAATCAAACTTATAGAAAAATTTGGTAGTTCTGTATGTTGTGTCAGGGCAGTGAACAGTGAGCGCAAGCTACATTAAATTGATTATTACGTTTTGAATATGGATATTTTTCTTACAAAAACGCATTGATTCGCTACAGGAGGCCTTTGTTCACCCCCTGGAGCCGTGTGAGACACTTTTTTTATGGATGGGCGCTTTTTATTTCACTTCTTTTGGACTGATGCATGCAACACCCGCTGAGTGGCATTAAACAGCTTGAAAGATCAAAGACCATTTTTAATATAACTCCGACTGAATTCATCTGAAAGAAGAAAGTCATACACACCTAGGATGCTTCGGGGGTGAGTAATTTATGGACTAATTTTCATTTTTGGGTGAACTAGCCCTTTAAAGGGACTGTAAAATTCAGTAACTCACATTCATGTCGTTCCAAACCTGTGTGACTTACTTTCTTCTGTGAGACAGAAAAGCAGATATTTTGAAGAATGTTGGTTACCAAACATTTTAATTTGGAAATACTATGGAAGTCAATGGGTACCAAAACTTTTTGGCGGCCAACATTTCATTGCCAGCTGTTTTATGATTTCTTTCTGTGTTCTGCTGAAAAAAAAAATTCATACAGGTGTGGAACGACATGAAGGTAAATAATGGCACACTTTTCATTTTTGGGCAAACTACCACTTTAAAGGGATAGTTTGCCCAAAAAGTATTATCATGTCGTTCCAAACTTGACTTAATTTCTCCTCTGAAACATTAAAAACTATTTTGAAGAACGTTGGGAATCAAACAGTTTTGGTTTCCATTGACTTCCATTCTGTGGAGATACAATGGAAGTCAATGGGAACCGGAAATGTTTGTTTGCCAGTGTTCTTTATATCATGCTTCTGCAAAAGAAAGAAACGTTTACCAATGTGGAACGACAAGAATGTGAGTAAATGACAGATTTTTCTTTCTTACTAAAGGGATAGTTTGCCCCAAAATTACATTTCTGTTCATTCATGTTTTTCCGAACCTTTAAGACTGTTCTTGTCTTCTGTGGAGCATGAAAGAAGATATTTTGAGGAATGTTGGGAATCAAACCGGTTCCCATTGACTTGCATTACAGTATATGGAAAGTCAATGGGAACCAAAACTGTTTGCCAGCCTTTTTCACATCATGCTGCTTTTGAAGAAAGAAATGCATATAGGTATGATGACAAATTATTTTTTTGGGTGACCTATCCATTTAAAAGCATAGTTCAGATCTTGTCTTCATTTATTCACCTTCATGTCATTCCAAACCTGTTTGATGTTATTCAAGCAGAGCACAAATTGAGAGTTTTTAAAGATCGTTCTTTGAGAACGCTAGAAAATATATCGAGCACTGTAAAAATTACAAAAATGTCCATATGACCAAAAGTCAGCGGTGTTTGACATCATATAGTCGAGATGCTGTTTTCCAGTCCACAAGACTTCCACAGAAGCCTCACATGAAATATAAACGCAGCTCATTTTAAGGTATTCTCATGTGTGGAGCTCGACAGCTTTACATGAGCAAATAAAGCTCAGATGTTCTTCCAAAGCAGAAGAAATGAAGTCGAGCAGGTTTGGAGCAACATAAACGGTCTCTCAACTCGCTCATGTTTTCTCCATCAGTCTCTCTTCCTCTGTCTCTCTCTCTCTCTCTCTCTCTCTCTCTCTCTCTCTCTCTCACGTTGTTCACTTTGGATTTCTTCCTCTTTCACTTTCTAGCGTTTCTTGCTTTCTGTTTTGCCTTAACGCTGTTGTGGACTTCTGTATCGCGCTGTTTATTTTCTCTCTCTCTCTCGCAGATGAATCTTCTTTTCTCGGTTCATTATATTTATATAAGTGATGTAAGGATTATAAGAAATAATCTATATATTCGGTGATTCTTTTCCCGTGGATAAGTTGAAGCTCCTTTGCTCCTCTTCTCGTTGTGTTTGCGTTTTTCTGTGGACAGCTGTGCAGAAAGTATCTGAGGTATTTAAAAGTGCACAATGATTGCGAATGTCTACTGTAAATTCCACTTAATCTGTTATTTTTGGTTTGTTTTTAAAAATATAAAAGATAACTCAGACTCCTGCTTGCTTTCTTACTGTCTTAATTCATGTTTCTCATTTATAAAACGCACATACGATCAGATTTCACCCTAAATTCCATGAATTTCATCCTGTCAAAAGTGATGAAAAAATCTGAATTATAAAGCTAAAAGCTGAAAATGTTGTGTTCACCCGTCAAAGAGCATGTGTACAAACTTTTGCACTCATATATATATACCAGTATCTAAGATATTCCAACATTCTGTATTAAAATGTAAAGAGAAATGTGTCATCATGTATGGACAAATGTAACAATTTATGGAGTGTTTAGTGGTGAGTTAATGTAGTGATGGTGCTCTGCTGTCATTAAGTTGCAACATTGAGTGTTGCTATAGAAACTGGATTGTTTCTAAAGATTGTAACAGTTTCAGTGACTCCATTAGGACGTAAATGAGATCTATATTTAGACAGCAGGTGATCACAGCCGTGCTCAAATTCAGAACAACAGCACGGATGGAAGCGTGATGCTGATTTTACATGAGAAGTTATGGAGTAACGTAGTGCGTGACTGTAATCTGAATCACTGAACACCGAGAGAAAGAGTCCCAATCAGACTGAAGAACCGTAACTAACAGATGATTTATAAAAGTGCACGGCTGTGAAGTATTTCTGGATCTGAGCGTCACGTCGACACAAGCTTTCAGTTAATGAAGCTTCAAAGAGTCAGCTGAACACAACAAATGAAGCAGAAAAACAAGCACACTAGTCAAACCTCGATGTGTTCTGAAATACTTGGTCATTGGAGAAAGAAACGAGATTAGTCTTTTTAATGTTTGTGAAAAAAGTCTCTTCTGCTCAGCAGAGCTGCATTCAATGGATCAAAAATGCAGTAAAAATTGTGAAATATTATTACAATTTAAAACAGCTGTTTTCTATGTGAATATCTGTTGAACTGTACTTTATTTCTGTATTTCCAGCCTCCTTCCTCCAGTCTTCAGTGTCACATGATCTTCAGAAATTATTCTAATATGCTGATTTGCTGCTCAAGAAACATTTCTGATTATCAATGCTGAAAACATTCATATTTTTGTGGAAACTGATACATTTTATTTTTCAGGATTCGCAGATGAATAGAAAGTTCAAAAGAACAGCGTTTATTTGAAATAGAAATCTAACGTTATAAATGTCTTTACTGTGACTTTTGAACAATTGAATGCGTCCTTGATGAATAAAACGATTAATTTCTGTAAAAAAAAAAAACATGCCACATATATCACACATATGGAATAATTAACAGAACATTTAAGCACATTATGCATTAGTTGCTTGTACTTTTACCATGGTGTTACAGTAGCACAGTACTGCCATGATGCACATCCAGAAACTAACAAACATGGCTTTGCCACAGTAGTTTTGTGACTCAAGGATGATGATGATGATGAAGATGAATGTGGGTTTCAGTCAGCAGTACGAGCGTCTCTGAGAGTTCAGACTTGGACTGAATCCACGGCCAGGAGGGTCATCTGAACCGTCACCAGCATTACCCCACAGCTGATGGAGAAGAGCCGAGTCCCAGAGTCCTGCTGTGAGAAGATAAGAGATCATCGCTGCTTCAGCTTCATTCAGATGAACTCTGAGCCGCCTCTAGAAAGAGCTCCAGGTGGAAATGTCTCTCGCCTCACTGGAGTCTGGTTTATTTAGTCTTCATGAACTGAGAACTGAGTGTGATGGGCTGAAATGTTTGAAAAGATGTCTGAATGAATCTGGACAGAGATGGGTATTGATCCATCAAAAAAAAACAATTTCTAGCACTTTCCACAAATAGGCTACAAATGTAGTTGTTGTTCATTAATGTTTAGTCTATTAAAGTAATGAAGTTTAATGACGGCAATATTTTCCTTAATTTGTAGGAATATAAGTGACCCTGGAGCAGTCTTAAGTCGCTGGGGTATATTTGTAGCAATAGCCAACAATACATTGTATGGGTCAAAATTATCCATTTCTCTTTTATGCCAAAAATCATTAGGATATTAAGTAAAGATCATGTTCCATGAAGATATTTTGTAAGTTTCCTACCGTAAGTATAACAAAACTTAATTTTTGATTAGTAGTATGCATTGCTAAGAACTTAATTTGGACAACTTTAAAGATGATTTTCTCAATATTTAGATTTTTTTGCACCCTCAGATTCCAGATTTTCAAATAGTTGTATCTCAGCCAAATATTGTCCTATCCTAACAAACCATACATCAATGGAAAGCTTATTTATTCATTGACCCTTATGACC